ATTGCCTGAACCCAGGAGGCGGAGGTTGCGGTGAGCCGAGATCGCGCCATTGCACTCCAGCCTGGGCAACAAGAGCGAAACTCCGTCTCAAAAAATAAAATAAAATAAAAAAATAAAAATAAAAATAAAAATAAAATAAAAAGAATGATGGGGGTTGTTACTTAGGTGATCAGGGAAAGTAAAGCTGAGACCTTTAGCTACTGCACTAGCTTCTGGGAATACTATGTCGAGTGCACCACATGAGGTCGGGCTCTAATGGAATTGTATGCTGGTTTGGGGTTGCTGTTCTCCAAAGCCTAGAACTGCGCTGACACGTAGCAGAGGCTCAATAAGCATGGGTTGTGTGAATACATTCAGGTTGGTCTTTCAAAAAAGCTGACTCTGAAAAGTTGGTTAGGGCCCGGCACAGTGGCTTATACCTGTAATCCTAGCACTTTGGGAGGCCGAGGCAGGCAGATTGGTTGAGACCAGGAGTTCGAGACCAGCCTGGGCAACACAGTGAAACCTTGTCTTTACTAAAATACAAAAAATTAGCCAGGCATGGCGGCCTATGCCTGTAGTCCCGGCTACTCTGGAGGCTGAGGCAGGTGAATTGCTTGAACTCGGGAGGTGGAGGTTTTAGCGAGCCAAGATTGTGCTACTGCACTCCAGGCTGGGCGACAGAGCAAGACTCCGTCTCAAAAAACAACAGCAACAGAAAGTTGATTAGAAGACCTATTTTCAAAATCTATCTCGGCCACTTATTATCTCTGGAATGTATTAAACCTTCCTAAACCTCAATTTCCTGGGATTGTATTGAGGCTCAGTAGTGGTAATGTACGTGAATTGGGAAGTACTGTATTAACAAATTTGTATAAATAACTGTTTAATGGGGGCCTGACAACGTGGCTTACACCTGTAATCTCAGTGTTATGGGGGGCTGAGGCAGGAGCATCACCTGAGTCCAGAAGTTCCTGACCAGCCTGAGGAACAGAGGGACATCCTGTCTCTACAAAAACAAAATAAAATTTTAAACTGAGCAAGGCGTGGTTGTGCACGCCTGTAGTCCCAACTATTCAGGAGGCTGAGGCGGGAGAATCGCTTGAACCCGAAAGGCGGAGGTTGCAGTGAGCTGAGACCGCGCCACTGTACGCCAGCCGGGCAACAGCAAGACTTTATCTCGAAAACAAACAACAAGAACAACAAAACAAAACCAGATACTCAGCATAAGTTCTAGGCGCTGTGACCTAGACGCTGGGAAGGGAGAAACGTGGTGATAAAATCATTTAAGGCTGTGCGAGGTGGCTCACGCCTGTAAACTCAGCACTTTGGCTCAGGCAGAAGGAACTCTTGAGGCCAGATGTTCAAGACTAGCCTGGAAAACATAGCGAGACCCCATCCCTACGAAAAGAAATTTCAATAGAAATAAAAGTCACTTAATTTCGATTTCTAACACCGCAAATTGAACTTACAGTCCTGTGATTTTCTGCATAAAATGTGAAGGCAAAAAATAACTGTGGAGGGTACCGTGCGGTATTGTAATATTATTTTAATTTCTGGGCAAAGCTTGTATCCTCCGGATACAAAAACAGCCGCCAGGAGGAGCGGACAGCAACACACACCCATCAAGCTTCCGGGTGTAACTTCCGACACCAGCATTTGGTCTGCGGGTAAAGAGGAAGGGGCGGAATCGGTGGTGTTACGCATGCGCTCCTGCCTCCTGAGGGGAGAGGCCGCTCTAGGCAACGGGGAGGTCTCGGAGTTGAGGGGGTAGGGAAAGGAGAGCAGCCTCTCCTCTATGGTCGCTAGGCCCGGGCATTTTCACCCGAAGTCGGTACTAAGTTACTTCCGGTAGCGAAGCCTCTACCTTTTCCTCTGCTCCTGCGGGGGGTCCGTGCAGGGGATAATGGTCGAGTGGGCCCCGGGACAAGTGGAATGGTAAGCCGCGGCACGGCTGGGGGGTGCTGAGGGGACGCCCCGGGCTTGATTTCGGGGCGTGATGTGGAAGACTGAGCGTCAGTCCTCTTTGCGGAGCCGCCCGGGCCGGATCGGAGGAGGCTCGCGGGTCTCTCCTCGTGCAGGCCGGAGTCCTGAGCATCCCCAGTCCTGGCTGCGAGGTGCGGACCTCAGCTTGGCCAACTGCCCTGTCCCTTCCCGAGAGCCCCATGTCCGCACAGCCGGTGGCTGGGCCTCGCCTGCGTTCTTTAGGGGGTCAGGGTCAGAGCCACTCGCTCCAGGTGCTCCCTAGGGTGGGAAGGAGGAGGTCCACGGGGCGCCTGCCTGCCTGGAGCGCCTGCCGCACCCTGCGGCAGCCAGGCCAGACTTGATGAGGCTCCTGATAGTTGAGATTACGGTCTAATTGGCGAGGCACGTTCCTGGCCCAAGGCGGAGCGATTGTGCCCACTCTTTAATATAGGGTGACCAAAGCGCAGAAGAAAGTGAAACCCCAAAGGCACACTGGGGCCAGGCAAGTACTCAGCTCTTCTGATTCTGCGCCTTGCGGCTCGGAAATAACTTGTGCAAAAGGGAATTTTCTTTTTCCTATTTTTTTTTTTTTTTT